TGTCGTATGCCTTGGGACGTACCATGTAAGTGAACAAGGATGGCTGTTTGCTGTTTGCTTGTGCAGAGGTACCAAGGGAGGACATCCTCCAAGTACAGAAAAGCACCAGATGCCAGGCACGGGCTTTTCTGAAGAAATGAGACAGTATTGCCACACTGAGCTGCTTGAAGACCAGACTGGCCTCTAAGCAGCAATCCCTTCAGAGGTCTCCAGTGTCACGGCGCATGATCTGGTCCACAATCTGAGTATATCTGAATCAATGAGACTGCTAAAACTTGAGCTGGGGAGACTTTTTTATTTGTCATGCAAAGGTGAACAAAGGTGCTGAATTCCGTTGAGAAACTGTAATGACATTTCTAAAAGGTATTTCCTATCCCTTGGACATTTATTAAGGCACGTAGTAATGCTCATTTGTATTCAAATCGATTGAAATGGATATATGTGAGATGAAAGCATGTGGCTGACAGTTTCTGACTGAAGGAGACTTCATGGAAGGAACCTTGACTTTATCAGTTTACTCCCCCTCCCCTCCTTCTCCTCATCCTAAGTAGCCCAAGTATACCACCCTCCAGGGCATATTGTAAATTTTGGCTTTGATTCACTGATAGTCTCAGCAGCTCAAGGCAGTTGCAAACTCAGTTTACCTGTCGAGTTAAAGTGGTTTTATGGCCGCTGTATATCTCTGAAGATTTGCAAGCCAGCAATATGTACCACTAAATCAGCCTTTGTCGGTTTTACCAGGCTTTTTGAGAGAACAAGAATGCTATTGCTTTACTTCTTAAGCTTTGTTTTTTTTCAAGATCCTTTTGTCATTCTGAAGTTGTGCCCAAATGTTTGAGGTTTAATGCAGGATTTATTACTCATCTTTATTGTTTCGGTTCTGTTTTGTGGTTTATTGAAGTCCATAGAGTTTGAAGCAGCCACCTGTGTATAAATCAAGCTATACAAATAAACTACCTTCTACAGGGGGACATAATATTTAGGGTTCTCCATAAGGGAAAATGTTCTGATATAAGTGGGAATGTCAGCTGGAAATGCAGAGGCTTGTGTACATCCAGTGCTTGAACGGATGCTCCCGTTCTATGCTGAGTGCTTCCTTCATCTCAGTTTAATTTGATTTGGATGAGGAATAAGATAAACCATAAAAAAAGCACTCAGGGGATATCAGGACTTTTTCCAGACTGACCTTGAGCTAGTGGGAGCCAGGGACGTGGAACGGGCAAGGTGTGGAACAGCTGTTCTGTTACAGCCCTGCCAGGTTGTTTCCTCCAGATCTACCGTTTGCACGTGGTTCATTTCCCAAATGCCTGCTCATCCCTACCTGGTAGCTCTGCATGATCCTTTCTTGTGAAGCTGATTTTCTTCTCTTGACGTTTGAATACACAGGCACAGCCTGTGTCTTCTTAAACATCCACAGTCACCAAAAGCAGGAAGCTGGAAAGCAAGGACATAAAACCAGCAAGAAATTATATATCTGATTCATCAAAGAGAAACAGACTGCTCAGCTTTGATCTTTAAAGAATTAATTCAGTCAGCTGCAATAATGCTAACACAGCTCAGAGAGGGACCTCTAGTTATGTGTCTGTAGGACAAGCCTGATCTTGATGAAACCCAAGTGATGTATGGGAGACATTCTTGGCCACGTGTGATGCTTACCGAAAATCAAAATAGTGGACCTGGGTTGCACCTGAAAGCTCCTTTAATTACAGTTTATACATTACTGCCTTTGAATTTAGTCTCTGGGTCTTCACTGGGATTTTCGATCCTCATGCTACACAAGCCAGAAGCTCCCTCTTGAAGAGGGACAAACACTGTTCCCGTGGGGAGGGGAGTAATAAGTTTAGCACCTGTAGAGACATGAAAAGGGACAATTAGGCTGGAAGTTAATTTATTTCATGCAGGAATGCCAGAACATCATTTGTGGGGTCCTCTGCATCAGCTGGACTCAGGTGTACTCAAAAAGCAGGTTACAGCTGCCTGTGTCCCATCCTACCAAACCGTGGTACCTCTGGTATTTTAAAACCATATACAGGCCAGTTGCCCATGGCTCTAGGGGAAAGATGCCTTGAACAGTCATTCAGAAAAACTTATATGTCTAGCAGTGCCTGCTACAGCTCTGCTGTGAACAGCACTTTTGCACTTATTAAAGGAATGACAAGAAAATGTGGAAACTCCAGATACAGGCTGAAGCTCATTTCCATTTTTTAAAGCCAGAAATCTGAATTTAGATGCCACTCTCCAGAAGCCTGTAACAACAAAACAAAGCAGGTGGGGAATTGCAGTCCATGTATTTCAGGTGAGGAGTTGTAACTGATGTTGGCCTTCTACTTGAAAAAGCTTGCAATTATGCTAAAATTTTCCTCTTTCTAATGCTGCTGCCTCTCCTCCCATGCTTCCTGATGCAGCTGAACCCTAAGGCCTGTAGTAATGAAAGGCATCTTTTTACTCTGCCAATACCATTGTTTATTTTATCTTTGGGACTCACACTAGGTCTTTGAATTAAATGAAAAAACAGCCCAGCTGTTATCAGCACAGGGCAGAACTGGACGGGAAGCTTGTGGTATTGCCCTGACTGGTGCTGTGTCTTCACGCAGCTGAAGTGTAATGCTGGGAGGTGCTGGGTGCCTTCAGTATCTCTTCAACTAATCCAAAAAAAGAAAGGAACTTCAAAGCATTCCCCATTTCCTTGGAGGTGTTTGGCACCCCAGATTACTCAGCCGAGGCTGGACAATGTGGCTCCTGCAGCTGACCTCTCCCTGCGTTGCCGTCGGTTGGACTGACTTGGACCTTTCTCGGCAGCAGCTTTCCTGGAGTGACTGGAGGTTTCCATCAGCTCCACCCAGGAGCTGCCACACACTGCATGAGTTTCCACCTCACCCCCTGGCTTCTCACAGCCCAGACTGAAGCATTTAGAGCTTGTGCAGCAGAAACAGAAAGGACGATACCGCAGGCTCTCCAGCAGCTTCTGCCCTGGGCAGATAAGAACAGGGCTTTTGTAAACTGGCCCAAGGCATTGCCATGACTCAGTTCAAAACTGTGCAGATAAAATAAGCTACAATGTTAGAAAAATAAAGAGCAGTGATGTTAAAAAAGAAAACAAAACAAAACAAAACAAAACTTTGTAGCTTTGTGGAAGCTCCAGAAGCACCAGAACAATGGAACAGTTGAAGAGAATAATAGTCTAATATTATTATTACTGTTATTGTCTTGTACTGTGGCTGGACTCCACGGATTCCCTCTAGGCCTGGAGCTGTTACACTGGGCACTGGCAATGTGTGAAAGGAAGAGACAACCTGTGCTTTTAAAGGGCTCCCAATCTAAGCACCGGAGTGGGAAGAAGGGAAAGGAAGGGAGGTAGAGGGAGGTACCACTGAAATCCTGATGTTGAGAGGATGAGTTTCAGGACTCATCTGTGAACCAGTAAGGACATTCTTGGGCCCGCAGAGGTCAAGGTAGAGCACAGCATCTTCCTCATATAAGAAGAAATTATTCTCTAATTAATTTTTGCTTCCTCAGAGGCCAAATTCAGTGTCTGGGACTCCTCTTCAAAGATGCAAAGGGGACTGAAGCTCCCGGATGATGCTAACTTTCCACAGGAGTCAGACTCCTAGGTGCTTTTATCCAAACAGGACTGCCTTATCGCTCCCTGCAACTTCACTTTTGCTGTCTTCACAGCACATCGTCCCTTTTGCTGTCTGAACACTGCCTCTCTCGGAGAGACAGCATCCATTTGGGGGGAGGGGAGGAGACAAATATTGAAAAGAAACCCAAAACCAACAACCAAAGAAACAGCAGCTGTTTGATTTTGCGTAGGCACTAGCAGCATTTGCAGAGGTCCCTGAGAAAATGGCTGAGTGGGCTTGAATCAGACAGAGCAGCCCAAGGAGAACGGACTTCCTCGCCTGGCCTTGCCGTTCATGACAGGGAAAGGATGTAGCACATGCTCCAGGGGAAGATAAAGTTTTCAGGACCGCCGTTGCCTGCGGGGATGTGCGTTGGGACGGCAGCTGGTAGCAGCTGGCAATACCATGAAGGGACCTTTGCAGTCCCAGAGGGTGAACCACATCCCAGGGTGCTGCATATCGGTGTCTCTCAGTGCTTCATTTGTCCCCATCCTTCCTCTGGCCATTGCCATGGAATGTTTTTTTAGCATTTAGACCATGTTGGCTGTATGGAGATTACAGGAAGAAAAGGAAAAGACCCAACGAAAGATTACTCTCAGAACTAGGATAAAAATGTATATTTCCTCCTAAAATCTGCATTTCACAGCCTAGTCAGAACACTTTTAATCCTCTTATGAAAAACAGCCCAAGATCACTCTTAAGCCACCCCAGAAAAGAAAGACATGGTATCATCTTGATCATAGTTGATAAAAGCCTTTGCCAAGGTGGCAGGAATAAAGGGGCAAGTCTGGAGATCATTACAGGGGTCCCAAGATCCAAGAATATAAGGACTTATGCTTTTGCTTCTACCAGGTGTCATGGGACAGTCGGAGAGAAGCAAATGTGTTCTACCTGTGGCTGAGGTTTTATTGAAGGAGAGAGGGAATTCAGTTTAGAGCAACTGCAAAATCCTGTGTAACACCAGTGCTGCTCTTCCCCTGCCCTTCTCTGCTGGGACCCCATAAAGGTGGTGGCAGCATAAATGCCAGAGCCTGGCAGACCACAGCTTAATTCCTGAAATTCAACATCTGCAAGACCAACCGTTCACACAGCATCTTTTCTTAGTGTAGCCCCAGTAAAATGTCACAAGAAGAGGACTAGAATCGTGCTGCTGCTGAAACATCAGGCAATATTTTTCCTTCTCCTGTGTAAAGTCAGTTTGCTTTGGGATGTCTATCAGTTGTGGCTCTGTTAGTGTTCATTTGTGTCTTACAGCCATTTATTCTTTGAGAAATTGTCTGCGTATAGCTGAGAGTATTTTGTTTATTTTTTCTTGGTGATTTGAAATGGTGTTTTTATTATTGTGTTTAACCTCTTCTTTCTCTAATCCACTGTCAGGTATCTCCATGCCTATACCTGTCTTTGGACTACAAGATGACTCCAAAGTGTTTAAGAAAGGCAGCTGCTTACTTGTGGACGACAATTTTGTCCTAGTAGGCTCTTTTGTGTCATTCTTCATCCCTCTAACCATCATGGTGGTCACCTACTTTTTAACTATCAAGTCGCTGCAGAAGGAAGCTATGCTGTGCGTGAATGACACTGGCCCAAAGACCAAGTTTGCTTCATTTAGCTTCCTCCCTCAGAGTTCCCTGTCCTCAGAGAAACTCTTTCAGCGCTCTTTGAACAGAGACGTGGGGACTTCTGGGAGGAGAACCATGCAATCCATCAGCAACGAGCAGAAGGCTTCCAAGGTTCTTGGCATTGTCTTCTTTCTGTTTGTTGTGATGTGGTGCCCGTTTTTCATCACCAATGTGATGGCCGTAATTTGCAAGGAGTCATGCAATCAAGAAGTCATTGGAGGACTACTTAACGTATTTGTTTGGATTGGCTACCTTTCTTCGGCTGTCAACCCACTCGTATATACGTTGTTCAATAAAACCTACCGCTCAGCTTTCTCTCGTTACATTCAGTGTCGCTACAAGGAGGAGAAGAAACCTTTCCAGCTGATTTTAGTGAACACTATCCCAGCACTTGCATATAATTCCAGCCAACTCCAGATAGCACAAATGAAGAGTTTGAAAAAAGAAGCAAAAATGATGGCTAAAGATTATTCCATGGTCACGATAGGAATACATCATTTGGATGGTACCTCCAAGGGAAGTATCAGCCCAGCGAATGAAAAGGTTAGCGGTGTGTGACAGTCGGCAGCTGCCATGACAACCACCGTGCGTACACTGAAAATTTCATGTGGCTGTGAGGAGCTCTGATAGCTTAGGATAATCAACCCTGTTCAAGAGACCCTCCAATAACATCACACACTCCTCATATTATCCTGTGGATGAAAAGCAGGGTTGAAATGGTATCAAATGTGCAATTTTTTTTCATACAGTACTTTGGCTGTTTTAAGCACAGGCTTTATTAAACTTATTTTTTTAATATTCTAAAGGATATATTTCTTAAAGAAAAAAAATGCAATTTCTGGTATTATAACATGGGCTGTGAAGAAACCTACGCATTTCTTTTCTCTTTGCAAATGAAAGCTAAGCTGTCCTTTGATGTTCTTGCAGAGTAGGCTCCAGCTAGTTTGTCTTGCTACAATGGAATTTTGTTATCATTAACTGAATGAGCACTTTACAGAATTTTAAATAAAATTATGGTTAATTTGCTAATATATATTTAAAATAAATTTTAAAGTATTAAAGAAAAATCTATTAAAACCTGTATAGATTAATTATACAGACATTTTGGTAACAGTGTTTTTATGGCTATTTTTTTCTTCTGAGTGGCCATTCTGGAATGTTACTGGGCTTTTCTGCCATTTGTTCTATAGTTCAAGTTAGCAGTCTTCAAGGGTAAATTATACTTGAATGATCATTTGGTTCTACTACCATTTGTAATCTTTATTTCATGTCTTGTACTTTATTTTCATCCAAAAAATTTCCTCCGTTCATCTTAAAAATGGAAAGTAATTTTTTCAAGAGTAATTATTCGGCTTGGTTCCTTGCTCCTTCCCACCAGTGTTCACAGGGAAGTGAAGTGAGAGAAGAGTAGAAAATCAGGCACAACATTGATAAATAATTTCAGGAAAGATTCAACATCCATGCCTCCGTTCAATTCCAACAGAGCCTGATACAAGTAAAGTCAACGGAAGTTTTGCATGAGTAAAGCCTTCAGTAAAAGGTTGCAGCAGATCCTCTCTCATCATTTCTCTTGGGTTAAAAAGGCCATTATGAAGAATGTCCTGGTTTTGTTTTAGGGGTTGTAGACCAAGAATTATTAGAAAACTGTTAGCTGCTCAACATTGTTTTCCCTGGTTTCGCTGTTTTGCTGTCATGGTAGATTGCTCAGGAATGGTAGGTAGCTTGCACTATTAGGACTCAGCCTTAATGAAATAAGTATGGGCAAATGGGGCCCACCTGAAAAATAACAGGATTTATAAGCAGCACTGCATTTCACCTGCATAGCTCCAAGGGCAGAATACATTACATAAAGAACATCAAATACATTGCTTGACAGAAACGCCCAGTCATGAAACTGTTTCCTTTTGAGCATCATAGACAATTTCACTGAAGACAGTGGGACTCTGCTGGAGAGCAGAAATAGAAATGTTGTATCCACCTGCAAAACCTAAATCCAAGGATTTGATTCATTTCATGAGTTTTGCAGCCATAATCATGAGAAGCAGGATGTATTCCAGTTTCAGATCCTGCCCACTCTGAAAAAAACACTGCCTACCCAGAAGACAAACTCCAATGCCTACATCAGTCCTTCTCTTGAAGTTGTTCAGTTTTCTCAGACCAATTAAATTTCTACTAAGGCAAAGAATAAGAGAGACAGAGAGAAACTGAATCCAATTCTAGCCTACCAGCTGGGGGTCTTTGGAAGAGGAAGACTTAGCTTAAAATACTGATCTGTGGTAGAAGAGGACTTAAAACTTGTCTGGGTGTTTGGCTGATCTCCAGGAAACTGCTTTTATTTTTCTCTTGCTGTTATGAGAACTAAATCTTCCAGTTTTATGAGCTATTCCCTCCAACGTGGGATAGGTCAGAGCCACCGTGCACAGGTCACACAGGAGCTCTGCGTGCACATGGTGACACTGACTCCCTCCGCAGCCCTCAGCCTCCACACCTGGGTCAAAGTGTTGTGCTGTAGCCCTGTTGCGGTGATGCCATGCATGTCATCCATCGGCTCATGGCCAGTAACTGTTTCCCCCCCAAAAAAGCGGAAATTAAGGATCACCTGATAAGTCAAATGGTATAAATGCTGTGCTCACTGAGGTGGTCCGTGTGGTCTCTCTGGCTCTGGGTACACTTGATCACCACAGTCAAACTGAACAGCTTCAGCAGAAGGAAAAATGAAGTCACTGCTCCTGCCTCCCCATGCATGCCCTGCTCCCACGTAGTGCCGTGTGAGGGGTGCCACACGGGCACAGAAGACATTTGGGGGGGAATCTGCTAAACGCATCTGGGCGTGAGGACCACTGCAGTAGTAGGTGGGAGCAGTGACTTTCCACTGTTCCCTGACAAGTCTGACATAGATCCTAAATCAGTTGGTTTGAGCTAAGGACAATGGCCAGCTCAGACCACCCAGGCCAGCCAGGCACGGGATGGAGCACTGATGGAGCACAAGTGGTCCAGGGCATCCCACGAAACAGGGTATTCAGGTACCTCCTGGCGTCCAGATATTTCCACTCCACAACTGGAGTGATAGTTTTGAGGATTCGGCCTTGGGAACAGGTACCCCAGGGAAGAAGTAGGCAGTAATAAAACCAAAGATCTTTTGTGAGTAGAGGTCTGAGGCTCAGGATCTGCCACCAAACCAGGTTGCCTTTATATGATGCATACTGGATTGAAGGTCTCTAACCCTGCGTGTGAGGGGAAAGGAAACATGGATGCTTCTACCAGTGGAGGGAATTGCTATGGTTTGTGCCGTTTGTGCCCATCTTGATGCAAGTGCCTCTGGCCTTGCAAGAGAAAGAAGCAGACAGCTGGGGTCCTACTGCCCATTCGTGCCGGGGAGCAGAGCCTGCCTGCACACTGTACGATGTACACGGCACCCTGCACTTCTTCCTCCTGAAACTCCTGAGGGCCCGGCTGCTGGTCTCCGCAGTCTCCTTCACCAGCTTGCGCTTGATAAACTGTTACTGAGCATTTAACGTTCACTGCTTATGCTCTCCACTTACTGTCTGCATTTCGCCCACGTGACAGAGCAAATCAGCACACACACACACACACACACCCCACCTCCCAGCCTTGTTTCTCCTTCATTTCACCTTCTGTTCCTTTTTCACAGTGTCAAATTGCTCAGGTTGCAAATACTGACGGGGAATGTTTCACTACAGAGAGGGTTTCAATTACTTGCTTGATGTTCCATTAGAAGATGACTCCGAACAATAATTTTTTCCCCAGCTTATTAAAATAAAATCTATGTTCTGGACCTAAGAGACTTGACAGCATTTCCTAATTGGCAGCTAGAGGTAACATAACATTTTTTGCTTAGAAGCAGGGATATCTGATGCCTGACATTTGAATCCTGTGAGCACTCAGATAGGTGGTTTTATTGAGTGATCAGCAGCTTTAGCCTAAGAAGCTTCTCAAAGCCAAGAATGTACAGCTGATAAAGACCAGTATCTCCAGCTCTTTACAGACGTCTTTGACAGTTTAACAAGGCCTGATTCTGCCACCTTGCACCAAAATGTTAACAGATTTTTGTGTGGTTTGCCTTAGTGAGGATGACAGAGTCAGTGTCTGAATTTGTTCTACCCACCATACCAGATCTGCGGGAGGTCATTCATCAGTAGATAGCAATTAAGAGTCATTATACTGCAGACAGATGACAAAGTTCAGCTGTTTTAAACCGGAATTTATAGCACTGGGCCCATGCTTGGGATGAACACAATAGTTTAGTATGTCCAGCTTCAGAGCAACACCTCCATCTTGCAAAAAAAATGTGAGTGTTTTCATTATGCATCCGACTGGAATGGAAACTTTTGTAATTTTCCAGGCAAAAAAAAAAGAAGACATTCACGCAGACTTGATCAGAGGTTAGGGCCTTCCCCTACCTTACAGGAAGAGCATGCTGAGTCAGTCTGTCATATCTGCATCCAAAAAACCCACCTTGCCTGAAAAAATGTTTTAATCAACAATTTTTCAAGTAGATTGACATTTTATTACTGTTAAGACTGCAGCTGAAAAATGTCCAAAGACATGAAGCTCACCATGTATCTCCTAAGCTGGTGTGCATCCTTTATAAACTTCAGGGTAAAAAATCCTATGTATCTATTCCATCCAGCCAATCATGCACTGTACTTATGTAATTATTGCCAGATGGTGAGATGCATTCTATTTTGAATACCTATATGTTTGCTTATGTAAATACATAAAAAGGTTTGCTGTATTTTGTAATGTTAATGTAAAATGGTGTTCCAATGCTTTATTGTTTTGTCAGATCCCACTGCTAGTAAAGCAGATTAAAATATTTAAATGCCATAAGTTGTTTTATAAACTGGAGGTTTGTCTTAAATAGTTTTTTTGGGTTTGGTTTAATTTCTCCCATACATATTCACACTACAATGTCTGTTGATGGCTAAAGTAATTTTAAATCTCTTGCTGGACAAAGAGAAAGAGCTTGTTGCAGAATTTAACTGTCTCAGTAAACTGGTCCAAAATGAGCCATTGCAATCATTCTCTTTTTCTAAGGACAGCCATTCTTCTACTGAAAAGGTATACCCTTTCCTAAGTACGTATAGCTTAAAACATTTCAGTCTCAGAAACAATGTACTTGCAATAGTAATAAGCCAATTAAATTAATTTCACTAAGAAGTAGCACTATAAGACTAAAATTAATAAGCAGCATAAATAAACAGTATTGCACAGCTGCACAAACATCAGTAACACCTGAATCACAGAACCATAGTGCCATCTATTGTTAGTATTTCCTTTCACAAAGAATATTAAAATAAGAAACTAAAATGGATTTTACCACTTTTTTTGTTTTCTCCATCTTAAAACCCAAATATATTCCTGCAACTGACCTTACAGCATACACGCTCTTGTTTACAATTGCAACGCATATCCAAGTAGTACAGCTGTTAACAAGAAGTCCCCTCAAAACCTTGCTGTAATCTTAAGGTTTCATCAAGCTTTGTAACACATAGAGAAAAACATAGAAAGGCGTATTTTTCAGAAGTTATCAAACAAAGAGAAACAGATTGTTTCAGCTAGAAACCTGCAAGGCACCGTAGGGTGAAATGTTTCAGATAAGATCCCTGAATTGAAAACCCACTCAGTTTCACTGCTGTAGTACCAGACTTCTGTACGTAGGCTCCAGGGTATCATAATTTCTTATGTTCTTTGGAAAATGCCTTGCTAGATCTACCCGTTTTGACATACTTTGCACTGACCTTTGAAGGAGAATACATTTGGCTTATCCACCTGGCACTTCAAGCCATAAAAGCAAAGGTGTTTGGAAAAGAAGATACTTGGTCTTCAGATTTTATAGTATAATCTTCTGAGGACACTCCTTGAAATATGGCAAAAGGGGTTTTGGAAATTTTATGTAATGCAGTGAAGTTATATAAAAAGTTATATAAGATACTTGCAGCATTGACACGTAAGACCTGGCAAATAGGCACAGCAATTCAAAAGCGTTCTTGATTGAATCTTATTGTGTTTGATGTAATTTAATTGCAGACATACCATGGTATCTGACCCTGAAAACAGTTATAACAATGGTTCTCCAAAGCATAATTAATTATGTCCAAAGTTATAACAATACACAAAAGGTTAACATTTTTCAGTCAGATTGAAATCTTCATTTTAGGATAAAGAAAAGCT